GCCTGGACAAGAGGGAGCCTGTAGGAACAGCAGCCCAGGCAGGTCTAAAAACAAGTGGCAGTCCACAGGCCTCTCTCCCAAGCCTCTCCTGTCCCCCAGGACCCCATCCCCTCTCTTCAAGGACTCCCCTTACCTGCTACCCATCCAAGTTTGCAGGATAGTAGACATGCCACATGAAAAGGAGCTGGAGGCCAGGAGCTGGGAAGGGGAGTAAGAGAGTCCTCCTGGGGGGAGGCTGCGGAGCAGGAGCAGGTGGGAGGCACAGAGCAGAGAAGCCAGGACCAGGATATGCTGCGGGGGGGAATGGGGAGGGCTGATCTTCAGAAACAGATGCAATAGAATACCTATTTTTCATGCCACACCTGCTCCTCCATGCATTCCCTTCAGCCAGCACCAACTCCTGCACCTCTGCCTCCTACCTGCAGAGCCAGTAGACAGCTGAGGCCCCAGGGGGGTGGCCCACACACAGAGGCACAAGAGTGGGAGGAGGGATTCTGGGGAGCAGGCTGCAACTGCGGCAGGGGAGCCAGGACATCCTGGGAGCCCGAGGGTTGGAGGTGGATGGGATGGGGGGCCGATGGTTTCGTGCTGCTGTGCATTCTGTCTGGTCTTAGCTGCCCTGGGCCAGCGTCAAGTAGCGTGTAAGAGACCAGAGTTTGGGTGAAATTAGCCGCCTGGGGTGGTAAGGGGGTGGGAGTATCAACGAAGCGAAGAGAAGGGATAAGGGTTTGGGCAGGACACTGCCCTTTCACCTTCGCCCAGCTCTTGAGTAAATTCCGTCAGCCATTAACCTGGAAATTGAGCTCTGGACCTCTCCCCCAAGAATCTTCACCCAGATCCCCTACTCCTAGGCTAGGCTCTTGAAAGCAGGACAGGAGGGTTGGGGAGACCTGTCACAATAACCTGGGGAGATTTCACAGACTGGATTCCCTCCATTCCTAGCACTTATAACTATCACTATTGGATCCACAGCATTTAACCCTTTCTGGATCAAGCCCCCTGCACTATCTCGAAATGAAACTTGTGAACTAAATATCTTTTTTAAAAATATTTTAATTTTATTCTTCATCATTATTATTTTTTAAAATTTGACCAGAGAGAGAGAGGGCAACTTAGAAAGTAAGCCACCAGGTCTGGGACTTGAACCATAGTCAACCATGTGGGAGTCCAGTGCCTTAACCACTATGCCACCTGCCGGCCCCAGTGAACTGAGTATGTTACATGGTACATGACCACAACTGCACAGTGTCCTCCCTGTGATGGAAAGGAGAGATCAGAGTAATCTGTAACAACACATCTTTTGATAGGCGAAAGCTTGGGCACTAGACGAGAAGACAACAAAGAGGTCCAGTCCTGGCCACCACACGTGAATGGCTATGGGTGTGACAACTCGCAGCCATGCAAGTTGATACCAAAGCTTTATCGAAGACTCGAAACCATAAGTATCCTACCGTAGGTGACTCGATTTTTTAAAAAATAATAATTATTATTATTTTTGGAGAGGTTTTTGCTATAGGGCATGTGCACTCACCAGAAAAACAGAGAGACAGGAAGCAAGAAATTATCCCCCCAGGGGGTATGGCCATGCAGCAATCCCTTCTCCCTTCTCTCAGGATTTGGACATGCATGCACACACGCCCAGCATGAGTTTAAGTCACCAGGTCCAGGACTTGAACCACGGTCAACTACATGGAAGTTCAGCAACATAGCCTTTACGCCATCTGCTGGTCCCTTAAATAATTACTTTATTTAACTTTATTTATTTATTGGCTTATTTTAATTTGATCAGAGAGGGACAGAGCAAGAGAGAGAGAAAGAGAGCCACCAGGTCTGGGACTCAAACCGTGGTTGGCCATGTGGGAGTCCAGTGCTCTTAACCACCAGGCCACCCGTTGGCCCCGATTTTTTCTTTTTCTTTTGTTTTCATTTGCCAGAAAGCACATGTGCTGACCAGAGACAGAGAGGGGAGGGAGAAAGCTCCACGCATGCACTGGGGATGGTCATACCACACTCCCTTCTCTTCTCTCTCTCCATCCAGTGAGGATTTCGGGCACACGTGTCCATCTTCCTGGCGTGTCTTTTAGGCCACTGGGTCTGGAACTTGAACTACATGGGATCCAACTCTCTTAATCACTAGGCCATGAAGGCAGCCTGTGACCCGATTTTTTTTTTTTTTAAGAGGTTTTGCCTTAGGGTACATGTGCTCACCAGAGAGAGGCAGAAACAGTGAGAGGGAAAGTGAGAAATCACCCCTTGGGCAAGGGGTGGCCACACAGCAATCCCTTCTTCTCCATTCTCCTCTCAAGATTTTAGGCATGCATGCACACGTGCCCCAAGTGATTTTCATACCACCAAATCCAGGACTCAAACTGCAGTCAGCCATGTACATCCAGTGACGTAGTCGCTCTGTCACCACCTGGCCCCATGACCTGATTTTTCAAATGGTAAACAAACTTTTGGTAAAGTGCCAAACAAAACCAGTTTGTTTTCATTTTAAAATTTATTAAGTTCACGATAGCACATACATGTGCCACGAGAGTGAGCGTACAACACCATGTCACGCCACGATCCAAACCAACAGCGGTCACGTGACTTCCAGCATTGCAGTCCTGCTACCAACAGTGTCATTTTTTAATTTGCATGGAGATACGCTCCTAGCAAACCAAGTCTTCTTCAAAACGAGCACAAATGATTTCATGTTTACATGTAACAAGATACTTCCATCCTCAAATATATATTAACGGGCTTTTCATATACGCGGTAACCAGTCGGTCATTCAAAAGTTGGTCTGGAAATTCTTCATAGTAGAGAAGGTCCTGAGCATTTTGGGTTATCTAAGGTCCTGCCCAGTCCAACGTTAGTAGCATCCCCTCACATTCTTGTGACAGCCAAAACACAGCTCGTAACTTTCCAAAATGCTCCCTAGGGGGCAGTACCATCCCTGCTGTGGAGGCTCTTCAGCAACCCCAAATGCTCAGTCCAGCCGCCCGGACTGGCTCCTTCTTCCACTGGTGACCAGGCCTTGACTTCTTTTAACACTGACTACCATCTGGCAGCCAGGTGGAGTCAGGACAAAAGTATCCCCGAGGCTTGTCCTTGTGGGGCTCTGCTGAATGAGCAGCTTGACCTCTCCACGAGGTGCCTTTCAGGACCCGCAGGATGGTACTCTGCTCACCCAGAATGTGCAACAGGCAGGGCCAACCCCAGGCATGGGACAGTCACATCTGTGTCCCACAGTACCCAAGTCGACTAGCAACTAGCGCCAGGGCTGTAGGGTGCTGGAAGCAGGGACGAGGGATGTTGGAGACAGGAGCCTCCGAGGAACAAACAGTAGGGAGTTTCTGAAATGCGGCTCAGAGAGGACGATCTACAAGAGGGGGCTTGGCAGGCAAGACACGAGGAGGAAAGCTCTTCAAGGGATGCCGTAGGAGGAAAAGTCCAGGCCATGCAACTGAAACTGTTTATTGAAACTTCATTTCTACAAAAGCGTGAAAAACCCAGATACAAAGCAGCGGCCAGAGAGGCCTGTGGAGAGAACACCCGGGAGAGGAACCAGAAGAGGGCAGCCCAAGAGAAGGCCACTAAGGGAGGGTCGGAATTCAGAGGTCAAGGTTGAAGGTTCCAGCTGCAGGCACCACAGACTACCCACGGGATGAGCGTGGAGGGGGTGTCCCGCCTTGCTAGCCTTCCCAAGTGGCTCCTGCTGTGGCCCTGTCGGTCCCTGGCTCTCCTGCCTTGGGGGAATCACACAGGCCCACGTCACAGCTTGTTCCTGGCCCCACATCCTCCTCCTCCCACTTTACCCTTCCATCCTAGGGAACTCAAAAGCGAAAGTCTAGAAGAGCCTGGGAGAAGCAAAGGGACAGGGCTTCTTCTCTATCCCTCTGTGACATGCCTCTGGTCACCGAGCTGACACTTCCCAGGCACTATCACAGCACCAGCCACTGAGGTCCAGGGGAGTGACTGATCTCCAGTCCTCTGCCCCATAGCCCCTCAAGCTCCCACCCAGGAATGACAAGGGCCAGCCAAGGACCCAGAAGTAGAGAGGACTTAAATCAAGCTGTGCTCCCCCAGGTTCTCAGGGACTCCCAAATCCTCTGAATGCATTCCTCAGAGCCCCCCTAACCTGGGAAAATGAAAGACTTGAGGCGGGCCAGCTCCATGACGCTGAAAAGGGAGCACTGCTGGGGCTGAGAGAGCGGAGGGGGCACCAGGCTCCAGGGCCAGGGTGGGGCCAGGCCGTGAGCGTGGTATTGGGGGCCAAGAGGCCCCACGGGGCCGGTATGGTTAGGGTGCTGGCAGGCACGGCAGGTTGGGGAATCTCTCTGGAGCTTCTGGCAAAGGGGGCAGTTTGGGAGAAGAGTGGGAGGGGCAGGTGGATCTGGGGGAGGCAACGGTGGGGGAGTCAGTGATGCCAGAAGACTGCCCCAAAGCAAACGCAGCCCCAGGTCTCCTTCGGGGCAGCTGGAGACATTAGCAGATGGCAGGCACTGTGGCACGGAGGAACGAAGGCTGGGCTCCAAGGGGCACGTGGAGGCCAGTCTGAGGTCGGGAGGCCCTGGTGGGGTGCTGCAGGACAGCCCCAAGGACTGGTGTATCACAGCCACCGATGCCACAGCCAGGGCCACACTGCTCACGTATGCCATGGCTAACAGGCACGACAACTGCAGGAGAGAAGAGAGGAAAGAGGCACGTTTCTGTCTTCAACACACTCGCCCCTGGACTCTAGCGACCTGTGTACAAGCTGGAGCCCTTTAGAACCTCCTGCACCCCTTACCCGTCTGCTTCAGAACCCCACCTCCTGAGCCTTCTGGCATTTATTCTACGTCATCCCACCTGGCAGGTCAGCCCACTCAGCCCCCAGGTTGCCTAACCCCCTCCTCACCTTTGCCAGCCGCTGGCAGAGGGAGCCCAGGGCCAGCTGCCAGGCCGGCTGCTCCAGCAGCACACACAGGTCCGTGTAGGTATACCAGCCCCGCCGCCGGCCCTGCTGCGTGGCCACACTGGCCAACGACAGAAAAGAATAGTCTGCAACAATCCTACGGCCAGCCCAGGGGCCCTCTTGGACCCTTGATGACCCACCAGAAAACACTGGGCAGCCTGTTAAATGTACAGATTCCTAGGCTACCTGCTGATCTGCTGATCCAGAAACAGAGTGAGACCAGGATCTGTATTTTGTTACTATTATTATTTGCTCATTCAAGGCAGGATGTATACATGTACACCGGCGGGGGGAGCATCATCCACAGAGCTCTGTCAGGACACGCTTCCCTTCCCCAGGCCTCCAGCCTTCCAGCATGCCCGGCACATGTGCATGCATTGAGTGCACTTTCAGGATGACCAGGCTGTGGACTTGAACCACAGCCAGTATGTGACGTTCACCTCCACAGCCTAGAATGCTACTGACTGTGCCAGAGACCAGGCCAAGATCTATACTTTAAATCAGCTGCCCATCCCCTTCCAAAACGGACTGAGAAGATACAGATAAGTAGAGGAGGCACTGCCTTGGGCAATTCTTTCTTGTCTCCTCTCTCCCCCCTGTTACACAGACCCTCAGCTCTAGGTCCTATGTCTTAGGTATCGGTCCCCAAGTCCCTCGAGCCCCTCTTTCCAACTCCTAAAACCTACCAGCTCTCCAGCCAGCTCAGCACCTCAAAGATCTCCCGAGGGTCAGTGTAGAGACGCCAATCCTACAGGAAGGAGAGAAGGGCCCCACACCAGACTCAGATATGAACCGTGGCCATTCAGGGACAAGAACCTCAGCAGCAGCTACAACCACCCCTATGGCTAAAGGTTATTTGGCACCTACCTGAGAGATACTGTCCCAAGAGCTTTTAAGTATTAACTTATTTAATCACCACCTAACTGGTTTCACCTTATACCCCCAGTAAGGGCAACGGGGAGGCGTAACCCTGAGAATGATCCATAAACCCCTAAGGAACACAGAGTAGGAGCAGAGAAAGCTTAGGAGCAAATATGTATTGCCAATGGGATAAGCTCTGACTCAAACTAACCCTGTGGGACCCTGGAGGGAGAAAGGAGGGGAGGAAGGACTCCACTCCTGGCCTAAAAGCTCCAGAAACTTTCTAAAGCTGTGGTTAGTCCTCAAGGGATTGGAAGAGGAGACACTAATGAAAAGGCACAAAGAGGCAGAAAGAGAAATGAAAAAACAGCAGAACACCGAGCAAGAGCCAGGGATGAAAGGAGGGTGAAGATGGGCCAGGGGGACGTAGCAAGAGAGAGAACAGCACTCACCATGGCGCTCAGAAAGCCCCTCTCCAGGGCATTGAGAGTGGGCACGGCCACACCCCCAGCGGCTCCCCACTCGTCGTTGAAGACCTCTTCCTCCTCCCCTTCGTCATAGAGGTATTTACTGGCCACCATCTGCAGAGTAACCAGGAGTGGCGTTGGCAGAGCTCACCCAGGCTCCTGGCTCACTGGGGAAGATGAGGGGGCAGTCTCACCATGGAGATCAGGAACAAGTCGGAGGATGACACATGCTGCAGGTAGTCCGGGTTGCGGTGCCGGAGCCGCTCAATATACACCAGAGCCAGCATCATGGCACACGGGGAGATGCACGCCTCCCTGGGAGGTGGAAAGGATCAGTAATTAAACCCAAGGGTCCTTCAGCTCTAACAGCTCTTATGATGCTTGTCTCTGACTTCACCTCTTCTCTTTACAGAAAACCAGTCCCCTCTCGAGGGCCCAAACACGCGCATCCCATCCACTTGGGTTCAGGCTCACCGGGACACATGAGCTACGTATTTCTTCTGGAGTCGGCGAATAGGGCTGGGGGCTGCCTTCTGGAGCAGTTCCACAGCAATGTCTGTAGGGGACAGAAGGAAGCCAGGATGAGCCAGCCACTCCCTCCACCAGTCCCCACTGAAGACGACCCAGATCCACACTGGGGCCTGCAGACAGACCACAGTAACAAAACAGAGACCAAATTCTCCCATGCTGAGACAAAAGCCCATTCCAAGTTTGAATTTCAGCCACTTCCAGTAGGAAGGCTTACTTCCCTGTCACTTGAAATATCCAGATTTGTCTTTGACTGCCGCTCCCTTGAGAAATAAACACCTCTTGCTTACTTGGGCAACATCTAACAGACACCCTTGGAAAGGTAAGAGTCTCTGGTACACAAATCAAGAGTGATACAGATTAGTGACACAGCACTTAGGCTAAAAGAACGTCATACATAAGCCGTATTCTTGCACAAGACAACAATGAGCTACCTAGAGGACACAGCGCAGTTCACAGGGTAAACCTCCAATCATTTTAGTGACTGCTGAAGATCCTGTTTTTTTGTTTGTTTTTGTTTTTGCTACAGGGCATGTGTGCTCGCCAGAAAGACAGAGACAGACAGACAGAAAGCCAGAAATCATCCGCTAGGGGGTATGGCGACGCCACAATCCCTTCTCCATTCTCCTTGGGATCTTTGGCGGGCACGCATACAAGCTCAGGGTGAGTTTAAGCCACTGGGTCCTGGACTCCAACCGTGGTCAACTACATGGGAGTTCAGCGACATAGCCATTACGCTAACTGCTGGTCCCAAGACCCTGTTTTCATGCTTTTCCCTCGCCCAGTCACACACAGCACTGCCTAACCTGCCACAGGGCTAGAGAGCTCCTCCAGGCTACAGTCGGTTTCCCAGTCCCAGCCATAGTAGAGTCTCCTTCGGATCCGGGCGCTCAACTTCTGGTGTCCTGGGAGGAACTGAAACAGCGGGAGGGTGGTGGAGAGTAAAGGGCAGGGAAGGGTAGGGAGATCCCGGCTCAGAGTGGGAAGGCAGTATGGGACAGCAGATCAACCTCCCTGCCCCGACCTATGGCCTACCCAGCCCCGCGTTCTCCGGATCATTTGCCAATGGCACTCGATTCACAGGGGTAAGAATACCCCCACCCCCACTGAGGGCTTCCCAGATGAGGTTTTCTGAGAAGGGCCTCGATCTGGCCCTCTCTAACCCCATTCTTACTCTCCCTCTGGGCCCCAGTGGCCGAAGCCTCCAGTAGGCACTGCTCGAACAGCTGCCGGCCAGTCCCAGGCACAGCAGTCAGGTGAGCTCGCGGCCCCCTTCAGGCCCGGAGAGAGAGCCCGGGGCTCGAGTTCCAAGCGCACGGAGGCTGGGGAGGCAGCAGGCCGCGCGCTCACCGAGAAGTCCTGGAAGCCGGCGAGGGAGAACGTGCCTTCTTCATCCAGTAGAAGCCCGGCCAGGTCCATCGCGCCGTCAGACACGGCTCTGCGAAGGTGGAAGGGAAGGCAATGAGTTGTAGGGGGCGGCCGAGCAGTCCGAGTCAGCGGGTCCACCTGCCCGCCGGCCTCCCTTGTGCGGGCCGCCGCCCTCTCCGCGCAGCCCCCTCCCCTGACGCCCGCAGCGGCAGGCGGAGCCCGGCAGGCGGGCGTCTCTTCCTGTTCCGCCCCGGGCGCGGTGCAAGGCCCTTCGGCCCGCCCGAGCGGGGACTGGACATCCGGCGCTGGGCTCACCTCGCGGAGTAGAGAGGAGACCCGGCTGCGGCTGCGAGGCGCGTGCTCTGCCCGGCAGCGTCTGCCCCGCGTTCACACGCCGCGGGGGCGTGCCGGGCGAGTCAGCGCGCGGCACTTCCTGCCGCCGGCTCGGCCCAGCCTCCGACCCCAGCTGCGGGGCAGTAGCGGGTCTCGAACCCCAGGGCTCACAGATCAGTCACAGAGCTGGTCCCCGGGGGCCCTCCTCGGAGAAACAGGGAGCTCCTAGGGGACCGCGCCGCACTGAGGATCCCGTGGCGACGGCGATGTTACCGTGAACGACGCGAGATACAGAACATAAAGAGAGGACATGAACACACGGCGGCGTTAGCAAAAGCGTCGGAAAGGAAACACACGAAACGTAGTGGGTGGGCCGTGGACAGGTGGAAGGGAAACACTTTTTAGAATACTTTTAACTATACATATGGCTACGTGCGTGTTTTACACGGTCAACGCACAGATTCACTGATCGCAGAGGAATTCAGAGGCTAGAAAAGTGGTGTTAACATGCCCCCCTCGTAAACAGCATCTAAACAAGGTTTTGCTTTTCAACTCACCTCCCCGCCCCCAATCTCGCACGTGGAGACGGAGGAGGAAGGAGCTCCGAATGGTGGAGGCTGGAAGAAGTTTACGGAAAGAGAAGGGGAAGAAGCAACTTCTCTGAGCAGGCGAAGCTGTTTTCAAGTCTGTCGAGTCACGCGCTGGTGTTTACCCGGCGAGGGGAGGGGACTGGGAGGGCCAGCGCGCCGAGGGTTGAGTAATGGGACTGCCGCCGCCCTTCCCGAGCGGCAGCAAATCCTACCGGGGAGACTGCGCG